ATATATATAATAAAAACTTTTATAAAATACAATGACGAGGAAATGGCAAGAAAAATTGATATTGGCCTTATTATTCACATATACTTACTAATGCATATGCGATATGAAACTTGACGCTATGTAATGTATTGTTTTATGTCTATTCATTCTTTTTATCATTTCAAGTTTAAAAATACTGAACTAATATCATTGGACAGCGACTGCTTTACAAAATATTTCGTTTTACATCCGAATGTATCAGGATAAAATACAAGATATTTCAAGGTACTTATATGTCGATATTTTTTTAGTAGTTTTGCATGCAGAGTGATAACGAGTATCGGTTAAAAAACCAAATATAGTTAAATTGAACAAAATATCAGTAATTTTAAAATTTTGAAAATATTTTCATCAAACATGAAAATCGTCATATCGCTCGAAACAAAGTAATTTTTTTATTTTATTTGAAATTTACTATTAAATGTATTCAAAATATTTAAAGTGGTCATTTAAAATTTATTTACATTTATGTAATAAACATAATTATTATTTATAGCTACACGTGATTAGAAAATGTAATTATGTAAATACGTCGTGTTTTTTTAATTTATACATTTTATTTTAAATATATTCAATACTAAAACAAAAAAACTTTAAAATATGAAGAATTGATTTAACTTATTTATCTACAAGAAGGAATAAATGAATATGTCGAATTTTTAAAATATGACTTGCTGTATATTAAATTAAGAATAAAAATTTAATAATTTGTTATTAATACTTTTGTTGCATTTCCATAAAATTATCATTTTGCTTAAATAGATGGTTTGATCAATAAATAGAATTAATCTATTCTATTTTATTCTAATTCTTTTTTCTACATAAGATCAGCAAAAATTCTTTTTTTTCTTATATAGAAAATCTATACTATCATTGTTTTATTATGAAAAACCGCTGTCTAGAATTAATATAATAATATTATTACATCTACGACGAAGTTTTCTAAAAAAAATAATGATGCTTTTATATTCGGTATGAATGACCCAAGAGATAATCTAAACAATATTCGAGAAGTATATTATCGGATTACGAATGGATACATATGCTTACATGAATAGATACTGTTTTATTATATATGCGATTGCATAATATTAGTGGAGCTTTCGAAGCGTAATGTAGCTCTCAGGTGCAAATATATTGTTATTTAATGACATGCATATATGTATAAGCTTTGATTTATAATAAATATTTCCACTTATACATTTTTTCCTTCAATGTCCAAACAAATCAACAAGAGTTCTAACATTTACATATTATTACATTTATTACATTTATATATTATCCTTATACGTCCATATCACAAAACACGGCCACATGTCGCATAAATTCGGTTTTTTATTTCAATTTTTAAGTGTATGACCAAAAATTTTTAATTATATTTTAATGATTGTTTTGTAATATTGAAAAGGATCCACAGTAGGATCGAAACGTCTATTGTACATTATACGTATGTATTGAATATATCGAACAAATAGTATACATATACATATATACTAAATAAAAGGAGATGGTCCCAAACAAAGCTGCCTATCCACAAAGATTTAAAAGTTTATACTAAATATTTTCTGAAATTTTAATCATTCATTTATATTGTTCCATGAATGTAGAATAAAGAGTTTTGTTCTAATCTATTTTTTGGTGTTGCAATTTCAATTTCTGGCAGCGTATTTATTAAAATTTAATAATAAATATTTTTAGTAAAAAATATTAATAATTTTCATAATCAAAATTTGCGTTATATGAATATAATTCCATTATGTGAAAAAATAAAATATATGAAAAAATAAAAAATATTTTATGAATAAATTTTGAAGACATTAAATTTTTTATCACTCAGTATAAATAATTTTATATACATATAATAATAAATTAATAAATATGTAACTAAAGTATTATGAACTACTAGAATAATTTAAAATTCATTTGCAATATCTTTTTAGCTGATTGTAAGCATCCGGAACCGATAAAGAACGGTAGAGTAATAATAGTAAAGGATTGACGACTTACAGAGGAGCCGCGGATCATTGCCTACAGTACGAAAGGATCGGCATATTTCTAAGAAAATGTTTGGACACAGGGTACTGAAGCGACGAGGAGCCAAAATGCGAATGTAAAATAAGATATCGATATCACATCTTTGAAATATTTAAATAATATCGCTTTTGAGATATGATATTTGTATACTACGAAAAATCTTCAAACTTCATCAGCTAATTTCCAAAGTTTTTTAAAACTAAATATTAAAAAAATCTTTCATCAAAGACCCATTGGCAGCAGATTACTTAAAATAAACTTAACGCCATTAATGTTATGAATTGTTTATTACGTGTCGAGAAAATAAGTATGAAAAATGAAAATTTGAATCAGGTACATGATTGTTATTTGTATTGCAGTGGCCATGAATGAGATAGCAGAAGTTCAAGGTGTAGGCACGAGCGTTGGCATTGGAGCTGGCGTTATTATCTTTATTTTAATTATCTTCGGATTAATTTATCTTAGGCTGTGAGTATTATTTCTCGAGATAATATGCACATTTTGTTTAAAACATATTAACGAATTATATTCGCAAACAAAAAGCTACGCCGATCAAAAACACCGAAAATGTTCAAGCCGCGGAACGAAAGGAGGATCTAAACGCCACCGTTATGTCTTACGCGAAATTGATTTCTATAAATTTAATTGTAATTGTTAATTTACTTTTGCTAATTACTATAAAAAAATAATGTTTATAATTATTTGTAGTAAAGTAATTGTGATTTTAGGTGTATCTATATAAAGAGAGATACACATTTAATAAAATATTTACACTATTATAATTGTTGCAATTTTACATGTGATTTTTTACAGTGCAGTGTAAAATGCAATTATCCCATTCATGTTCGAATCTGTCATGTTAAATAACAACTTTATGAAATCAACTAATTTTAATATTTTGAGGGGGGGGGATCGGAAGTTTCTAATAAAATAACTTAATGAAGACTTTGCTTTCTAAAGAGAATACTGAATTCGATTTTGGTTTTAAATTCCAAAATTTTAAGAAAATAATCTTATTATTGTGCAACTTGATTTTAGAAGATTCTTAGTATTTCTGAATTTGAATATAGCCTAAAAATATCGAATTTTTAAAAAGACAATAATCTCCATGAAGGAGACTGATGTCACAAAATTAGATGTTCAAAATTAGAGTTTAAAAATCAGTTTGGAAATCAATATCTATTCAAAGCAAAATTGAAAACTTGATGTTATTTCGGAATTAAAAACTTTCTAAAACCGAGTTTTATGATAACCAAATTACTTTTTTGAAATTTCGTTTGTCATACTAAATCTACTATTTTGAATTTTTCAATTTTTACCTCAATTCGAATAAAGCTTTATCAAATTATCCTACAGGCCAAACTTTATAAAAATTTAGCAAGCAATTTATGAAATAAAAGGGTGTCTCCAAATGGAATCGTCGGTCTACAAAGAGTTAATTATTTAAAACTTACTATACTTACTTTTAAAATATACTATAGATAGCGAATCGAAAATTTATTAAGGTATAATGTATACACGCGGAAAAAAAAACGGCTACGGTTGCCATGACCAAAAGTTGCCCATCAATACATTTTTTGGTTATAAAAACTGTAATACAATTGTGATAACTAAGATTTTCATATTTTAACAGTTATAGCTGTAAAGAAGAATACGTTTATCTTACGATTATCACAACCAGATGTATTGATGGGCGAAAATTATCATTAAAACCTTCCGGTTGTGGCTACCGTAACATTTTTTTCTGTGCCTGAAATTTATTTTCTAATTATTAAATAATTAGGCTTGATATCGTGTTTTATAAATTGATATGTATTCATAATATAGATATGGCGGCCATTCAAGAAAAATGTACGGCAGATCCGAACATTACGAAGCCGAACTAGTTTCCAACAGAAACGGAATCATTATCAACGGAGTGCGATAGCTCGTAATTCCATCGCCGCGGCTTTATCTTTCTCGATGTCGAGAATATGCAGAAAACTGCCGATCTTTCGCCGTTTTCGAGACATGTACCAAAAATACCGAAGAATTTATCATAACTACCTGCTAATTCATGTAAATAATTCATGGAAAAGAGAGAAGGAGAGATGTGTGAAAAGGATTACACATCGATGAAATTTTTTTCTCTGAGGATTAACTGTTTTGTATGATTCTGTATATACGGTGTATCAATCATTTAGGTTTATTATACATAGACAGTAAGTAACATGCTGTAGTGTAAGTTTACAATTATAAAGAATAAAGAAATCAATGCTCTTGTTATAAGTTCACACTTTGTTACATTATCCCGCTTAATTTCTCCTTCAAATTTAGTTTTTTAAAATTTTTCTATTTTCTAACGCCTATTTTTAGAAATTCGATAGATCTGTAAAATTCGCCAGAGAATCAAGCATACATAACTAAATTTATCCTAATCAGTTTAACTTGTTTATTTTAAGGAAACGGATGTATGCAATGCTATACATATATTTGTCCGTATATTGTTATTAAATCCATGCGTATATATATTCAGGTATGTACATAATATACTAATAAAATTATCATACATCCGTTATCCCAATAAAAATGTTGATTCATCACTTACCAACCCGATGTGTAACAATGGAAATCTGCAACGTCGCTACGATGATTCTGTAACAAATAAATTAAAATTTAAATTAAAACAGGGTAAAGAAATAATCATTACTTTAAAGAATAATTGCTATATGGGCATTAGCAAAAATAAATTTGTATAAAATTTTATAAATAAATAAATTTATTCGAGTAATAAAATAGACGTTTCAATTCTGTGTGTTTATTGTGGATCCTATTCAATATGAACAAAATTTTGAGAATAAAAAATATAATCATATATATAGAACGCACATTTGCAAACATAAATATGAAACATGAAGCGATGTCGTGTAAAATTATCGTTATGCAACTAGTCTTATGTAACTATTTTATCCAAACGTAGAGATTGTTATTTTTTACTTTGGAGCAAAGTATCAAGTAAAAAACTAGTTTTTTACTGTAAATAAATTTATTACACTCGTCTAATTTATTACATTCATCTTGTATTTGGCTCTTGCAGGCATTAATTGTTTTTTTGAAAAACCTATAAGAAATTCTCCGCATTCAAATAACGCCACTTTACGTCCCATTATGAATATCTGTGAAAAACTAAGAATTTCTAAGACAGACAAACCTCATTCTACGTCTCACTATGAACATCTACGAAAAATTAAGAATTTCTAAGATCTTGTCTCAATCTATGTAATTTTTCTATACCTTGTCGTAAAAATGTTTTTTCCACCATGGGGAATAATTAAATTAGAGTACGTACGATCAATCTTACGTAATAAGACATCTGTACAATACAATAATAAGATATCTATACAAATTTTATTATAAATATCGTACAACTTACAGTAATTTACTGAGCAAAAATATAATTTTTATTATATTCTGACGTTGTTATTACTGTATTGTTATTACATTTTTTAACGTTAATTTAATAAAGTATGCGATTATATCAATATTATAGAACTTGTGAAATTTTGCGATAAACTTTGTTTATAGCATGTATTGTCTATGTATGTACAACGTATTACTAAGTTTAAATATATATCATAGATAACGGTAGACAATGTTTTATGGAACAATTATTTCGTTTAATAATGTTCCATAAAACATTGTCTACCTAAGTAATAAAAGTACTAATGTAAAAAAAACGTTGTTAAAAGGCATGTTTCATGGTCATCGCAGTCAATAGTTGCCGCAGTGTTTGTTCTGTTATATCCATTGACGCGATTGAAAGTTTCAGTAGATTGCATTAGTAAGTGTAAATCCATTGACAAAAAAATTTTATATAATGAATATTCAAACATTTAAAAGGGAGAGCTCCGTTTATTATAAGTTAAGGATGTATTACACATTTTTTAAAATGAAAAAGTTATGAAAATATTACAGATATACGTATTACAAACAAAAGAATTTTATTAATAGAAAGAGTGCTTTATTTGAAAGCAGTCCATTATGATTAAATGTTTATTTCCTGAATTTTTCTATTTTCTTAATTTTCTGAAATCATAATTATTTGATTCAGTACATTATATGAACTTTTGATATAAATTACGTAATTATGTTCCAATATTGCTTTTCTTTTAAAATCCTATTGTATAATATTCTGTATTAGTTGATGTGAATGATAACATACAAAACAAATGTTATATTCTAACGTACTTTGCAAGAAAAAGATTAGATATTTTTACATCTGATGTCATGACTCGTATGCTGTACGACAACCCATACAGAAATGTTCAAGTTATATCGTAGAGACAACCTAAAGATATCGCAATATCTATAGGATATCCGATATATGATATATTCAGGATATTTCTGCTATGTGGGAAAGGATCAAGCAGCCTTAACCTTCTGCTGGTTTGAAGGCAAGATTTGATTTTTTATTCTGAGTTCTTACAAACAAACTTAAATCTTTAAAAAAATAAATAAATTACTGACTGATTTTTATGACAGTAAAAGTTTATTGTTAAAGCTTTACAAAAAATTTTTTTGTAAAACCATGTCTTTATATAGTCCAAAACAATATAAAAATTTACCTCAAGCGTTTAAAGACCTAGAAGTTCCTAACGAAAGATACAAAATTTTACATAACTAACAGAGGATCAATGTATACAATAGATCTTGCATTCGATTATCTTACGATTGATCTGTAGGCAATAATAATTACATATATGTAAACGTGCCTTTGTCTATTAATTTTTTATTTATGCACAATACAGCTTGTAGATATCGATATGTAGAGACAATATATGTATATCGTGTGTATACTATGTAGCTTTGTGCACAATAGTGTCATGTGTGCAAATAAACATCATCTCCGAATTTTTTACTTTTGCGCAATAGATTTATAGGTAATCTATCTGTAAATAAATTATGTATGTAACATAGCTTGTACGTAATAGCTATTATTTACAAGCATTATAATACTTATAAACAATAGATCTTTTATAAGCAATAATTTTTATGCGGAAACGAACTATCAGTAAATGGAATGTAATCGGCAAACAATACTGTTGGCATTTAATTTATAGGGAAACGGAGCCCTTTTCTTTTCACAGAGACAATATTATATTTGTCTTAAAAACATTAAATATTTATAATATATTATTAAGATTTTTTTATCATTATATTATTATTGCATGATATGTACATAGAAATTTTTAATAATATTTATTATTTTTTTGATATACTTTTATAATCTTACGTATAAATATTAATATTCTAACATAATAATAATTTAGCAAGTTTTTAGAAAAAGGCATAAAAATTGGAGCACATATTTGTTATATCAACTACAATTATGAAAATCAATTATGTGCTACTACCTCTAAAAGCACATTATTTTTTTTTTCATGCAGGTAAGTAAATCATGAAACGAATTATATCCCATATTCCAATAATTATAAGTAATTTAAATAAATTCATAAGTGTTTTTTTAAGTACCATATATATAACCCGTGTAATTATTGCATTAATTAAAAATATTTAAAGTACTTAAAGGACTATTACAATGCATTTTACATTATAAAAGATTTCATATCATTTATAACTGATT